GCTGTAGTTCCTTTATAGCCCAACATTAGCCTCCTTTAGCTTAGCAGTGGTGACGTGAAGTCAACAACAACAAGAGGAGCAACCGCACACTGAGAGAGGAGGTAAACAAACACACAATAACAACAACAACAAGAGGAGCAAGCGCACACTGAGAGAGGAGGTAAACAAACACACAATAACAACAACAACAAGAGGAGCAACCGCACACTGAGAGAGGAGGTAAACAAACACACAATAACAACAACAACAAGAGGAGCAACCGCACACTGAGAGAGGAGGTAAACAAACACACAATAACAACAACAACAAGAGGAGCAACCGCACACTGAGAGAGGAGGTACACACAGATGTAAACACACAATAACAACAACAACACTCAAAACGTATCACCAAAGAACATCTACAAAAACAAAACATATTTGTGTTTCTTCCTCTTACTCTCCTTTTTCTTCTTCTTCCCCTTCCTCTTCTTCTTCTTCTTCTTCTTCGGTGGTGCCAGGTGCTGAGGAACCTGCGCAGTGTTGTGAGTCTCACCTTTCTGCTGGGGATGACGTGGAGCTTCGCCCTGTTCGCCTGGGGTCCGGTGTACCTGGCCTTCACCTACCTGTTCTCCATCTTCAACTCCCTGCAAGGTAACCTCACCTTCAGGGGCTTGTTGTTTTAGCAAAGTGATCACATGACTCCTTTAGTGCTCTGTACTCTGAAGCCACTTCAGTTTGGACTTCTCTCAGATGTTTGACTTTTTTTTACTTTTGGCTTCTTTTTGTGACTTTTTTTCCTTTTGGCTTCTTTTTGTGACTTTTTGTGACTTTTGGCTTCTTTTTGGGACTTTTTTTTGTTAAATATTGACTTTTTGTTTTATTTGACTTTTTCAGAATGTTGACCTTTTTTTTGTTTTATTTGACTTTTTTCTGATTTTTCACTTTTTTCACAAAATCATATTATGATATAATAATATTTGATAATAAAATTATTAGTCCTACGTTATTGTTAAACTTACCGAAAATGTTTTATGGTCTTATTTCAACAATGTGATCACATGACTCCTTCTGATGTCACTGCAGATCTGCTGTAAGCTAGCTAGCTAACGTAGCTAACCTAGTCATCCCCCAACAATTAATTTATTCCTTTTTTTTTTTGTTTCAACATTTATTTTTTAGTCAACTTGAAAAAAATGTAGGCTTTTTTTTTTTCGTCTACAATGAATTTTTATCAATTATTTTTCCTTTTTTCACCTAATGTAATGGAACAAGAATATGAACCTTGCTTTATCCACTGGTCAGGAAAATATGCAAATGAGCACACATTTAATAAAATATCGCCTCATTTGCATATATATAACTATATAACTATATATAACATATAACATTACGGAAAACTTGTAATATAAAAACTGATACTCTTAATGTCCGTAATGAACCAGGGAAGTTTCACGGTGATATCTGTGTGTTAATTTGTTTACCCCATTCACCCCTAGGTCTGTTCATATTCATCTTCCACTGCGCGCTGAAAGAGAACGTCCAGAAACAGTGGAGGAGATTCCTCTGCTGCGGGAGGTTCAGACTGTCCGACAACTCAGGTACTGTGTGTGTGTGTGTGTGTGTGTGTGTGTGTGTGTGTGTGTGTGTGTGTGTGTGTGTGTGTGTGTGTGTGTGTGTGTGTGTGTGTGTGTGTGTGTGTGGTGTGTGTGTGTGTGTGTGTGGTGTGCGTGGTGTGCGTGTGCGTGTGCGTGCGTGCGTGCGCGTGCGTGTGTGTGTGTGTGTGTGTGTGTGTGTGTGTGCGTGTGCGTATATTGCTCTGTCTCAGATATTATTGGCAGCTTAGCCGTGTGGAGAAGGAGGTGCTATGTGTACCCTAAGTGTTCTGTGCTGCTTAGCCCCAATATATTTGATTCCCTGTCTATGTAATATCATTTGTGGAACCAAATCAAGTATTCCAATGTGTGTGTGTGTCTGTCTGCACTTTATTATTAAATTATAAGTCTTTAGTCTCTGGGCTCTGCAGCTCATAACCAGGGATCAGACGGAAGGGCAGGAAGTGCTCCAGGTGCTCTTAGTGGTTCCCAGCAGTGAAAAGTACTTGAGTACTGCACTTAAGTGCACATTTAGGGTACTACTCATTAATTGGTTACAGTTTTCATTTATGATTTTGCAAGATTTTTTGCTTCTCCTTTAAGAAAAATAATAATAATATATGTTTGAATAATATAATATTTATTAGATTGATAAATACAAAAATGAATAAAAATACTGATAATAACATGTGATAATAATAATAATGTATTAATAATGATGATAATTACGTACAAGTAGATTATAAATCAGGTAGTTTGTCACAAATACTCCTGAGATAATTAGCCGATCTTTAAGTCATTTTTAATGTTTAAAAAACTGCTTTGTTTCACATTTTTTAAATGAGGATATTTTCTGCACTGAGTTCTTCTACTTTAAATACTTTTCTTGTACCAGAGTATTTTGATCCTGTGCTTTGTTTCACTTCAGTAAAGGATCTGAGTACTCCTGGTTTCATTCCAACAATTCCAGGTTAAGTTCCCCTGTGTGTGAAAGCCTGAGAAATGGAACTCAGCCATTTTAAAAATCCTCCCTAAATCCAGCACCATAGAAGAAGAAAACACAGAGTTCATGTTCACACACTTTCAATGTGTTAGATATGTGTTTTGTTCAATAGAGTGCTGCAGGGAGAACCTCATGTGACCGTGCTGTAGTTCCTTTATAGCCCAACATTAGCCGCCTTTAGCTTAGCGGTGGTGATGTGAAGTCATGTGACCGTGCTGTAGATGTGACCGTGCTGTAGTTCCTTTATAGCCCAACATTAGCCTCCTTTAGCTTAGCAGTGGTGACGTGAAGTCATGTGACCGTGCTGTAGTTCCTTTATAGCCCAACATTAGCCACCTTTAGCTTAGCGGTGGTGAAGTGAAGTCATGTGACCGTGCTGTAGTTCCTTTATAGCCCAACATTAGCCTCCTTTAGCTTAGCAGTGGTGAAGTGAAGTCATGTGACCGTGCTGTAGTTCCTTTGTAGCCCAACATTAGCCTCCTTTAGCTTAGCGGTGGTGACGTGAAGTCATGTGACCGTGCTGTAGTTCCTTTATAGCCCAACATTAGCCTCCTTTAGCTTAGCGGTGGTGACGTGAAGTCATGTGACCGTGCTGTCGTTCCTTTATAGCCCAACATTAGCCTCCTTTAGCTTAGCAGTGGTGACGTGAAGTCATGTGACCGTGCTGTA